AGAGAGAATAGTGCAACAATGAATGAATGGAAACCCAAAATCTCTGTAAATGTTTATGAAAATTAATAAAATATAGGAAAAAAAAAGAATAAAAAAAAAAGAAAGTTTATGAAGAAATTAGATTTCCATTCATTCATTATTGCACATTTTCCTCCCTTGTCCCCCCCCCCTACAGTTCACTTTTCTTTTGGGGGGGGAGTTCTTTTACTGTTATTCAGTCCCTTTCCCCTGCAACCACTTTACTATGCTACTCTTATTCTGGACTCTTGTCATGTCAATAGTACCTAATCAGATATTCCATTTATAAAGTTATCTCCCTTGTCTGTTAAAAAAAACAAAAAACAAAAAACACCTTCTCTTATAAAAATGTGCTCAAGAAATGTAACTCTAATGCAGTTTAGTAATAAACCTTTATTGGTCCAAAGTAATTGGAAATCTGTTTCCACTTGCCAGTGTCTTGTTTAAGGATGGGTTAAAAAAAAAAAAAAGATGTGGGAAACAATGTTAGGGATGTTTACCCACACAATGCTGTTGATTGCAACGCATGATGACACAGTACAGAGTTCTCAAGGTTATAAACCTTTATAGAAGCTAAGGGCCACAGCTCTTTTCCCTGGGTGACTGCTGAGTACCAGCCAAGCACTTCAACCACTGCGCTCTCCAGGGCACCTTTAATTTATTCCTCTATGTCAAATTACCTTGACAAAAATGAGACTTTAATTTTAAGGAGGAATTATCTTTCACTTACCAGAGCATCTCTAAGACGTATTTGTTTAAAACAAGAAGCTTATATCATTCTAAATCCAAAGATTACATGTTTTAAAGAAAATTCCTTTATCCTTGTATCTGGACATAATTACTACTAGCACTATTTAAAGATCATCTTGTTCAATCTACAACCAGGAGAAGATAAAATAGATGAATGGGACCTTCTAAGAATCAAATCCCTATGCATATCCAACAACTTCTCCAACAGGGTAAAAAGGGAAGCCACAGACTGGGAAAACGTATTTGGTAAATGACATGTCAGAAAAGGGAATCATATCCAGAATTTATAAAAGAGCACCACAACAAGATAAAGGTAAACAATCCAATTGAAAAATGGGCACAGGATATGAACAGACACTTTACCAAAGAAGACATTCAGATGGCCAACAAGCACATGAAGTAATGTTCAAAACCCCTAGCTCTGAGAGAAGCAAATCAAAACAACTATGAGATATCATCTCACCCAGTAGAATAGCAAAATTTAACAGAACAGCAACCAACAAATGCTGGTGAGGTTGCGGAGAAACTGGAATCCTTATTCACTGTTGGTAGAAGTGTAAAATGGTGCAACCACTGTGGAAGGCAGTGTGGCACTTTCTCAAAAAGTTGCAAATATAGATACCATTTGATCCAGCAATCCCACTACTGTGAATATACCCTAAAGAGACCATATATATGCACACCCATGTTTACTGCGGCTTTGTTCACAATAGCAAGGAGTTAGAAACAACCTAAGTGCCCATCAACAAACGAATGGATAGAGAAACTGTGGTCACACAGTGGAATACTATGCTGTACTGAAAAACAAGGAACTCATCCAATATTATTCAAAATGGGTGACCCTGGAGGACATTATGCTGAGTGAAGTATCTCAGT